ATTGAATCCATAAAAGTAATAAGTCATGTGATTATATAAGAAATTATAAAATATTTAATGCGAACGCCCTCATTGGTTGATAGCTCTGCTTAGATGTGGGTACGTATGCAAACACGCTTGCTGTGTTTCCAGGCGCAGTTTGCAAATATTTCAAGTACAAATATTAAAGAAATGCATTTTTTCCAATTTGATTTGGGGATTGGATACCTCCTCCCTCCTGTGTGCTGAAGGGTAAAAAGCGAAAAAAGATGGACCACAGCGCTTTGCCTGCATCGACGATCGTTAACTAGACAACTTCGTCAAGGGAGCTCAAAAAGACTACAAAAAATGCCACAACATTTACAGTTAACGTTTATCATGGTAATTTTTGCATGCCACGGTAAAATTCTCCATAAGGCCCTCTTTATTTAAAAAATGTACACGAAAATGCACACTGAACTATATGCCGCCACAGACTGTAAACGTTTCAAATCAAACTTTGCACGACCGATCGGTTTCCATGTTTTGACGGTCAAATTTGCATAATACGTTACTCTAAGACGTTCTCAGCGTAAAAATCTGTGTGGGACAAATGGCCAGCCTTTCACACTCTCAAAGAGAGATAGATCGACTATTCTGGCGTTGCACTTTTAATCAATAAGGACATATCTAAACCACTTTCGCCAAAGACAATAATCTTTTCTTTACAACTTAAAAGGATTTTCTGCAAATAATACAACCTTCACCTCTATAGGGAAATTCCTTTACTGTTTCATGGCTGTTATGCCAGAATTCGCTCTGTATCCGAGAATTACTTTTCTGCTGCGCGCGAGGAGCACTTGAGTTTGCAATCCGATTGGCGCACGAGAAAACAAAACCCGCTACGTCACAGAAATCGTTTTCTGGCTCGGGTTCGCGGACGTTATTTTCGGTGGAACCAAGTGACAGTCGTAAATACGTCTACGTCCGCAGGCTAGTGGTCGATGGGTCGTTAACATTTTGTGGTAATTCCACTGACTAGTACACTCCGTGAGAGAGGCGACATTTGCCCGACCATTATAAACACAATAAATGCCACTGCCTAACCCAAAGCGAAGAACTGATATTTCACATGTGAAGTCGATCAAGTTCTCCCAAACTAAGGACTATTTGGTGTACAACAAAGGTGGGTATATAATATGACCCATCGATAGCTATGACAGTTTTTAACCGAAGCGTTGCTAAAAATCATCTACATGAGTTTAACGCTCGAAAAAACCCGAGACGCAGTCTAGGGTTTGCATAATTTTCGAGAATTCTCCCAAATCTTCATTAATTCCTGTTGCCGAAGCCCATTCTGGATGGGAAAAGTTCACGACTTTCATTGCCAATGCAGTAGTAGATGTTTGCTTTTTGAGGGGCACCATTTACATGAAATGGGCGGCCAGAACATGATGACGTCACAAAGCATGATAAGTTGGCGTGTGCGGGAAACTTCTTAATTTATGCAGAACATGTCTGGGCAAGTAAGTAAGCTTCGATATCAACTAAACATGAAATTTAGCTATATTTTTAATCAAAAAAAGCAGCCAAAAAGGCTATAAAGGCCATAAGGGCCACTTCCAGTTCTGTGTTTTCTCCAGGAGCTCTCGTGGGTCTCGCGTTGATCACGGTCTACTTGACAGATTAGAAAACTATTGCTGGTTTTCAAAATAAAAGTGTACTCGAGCTCCATCTAGCTAATTCATTCATTGCAATTCACTTGCTAGAAAAAAAAATTCTCGAGCTTTGGTTTATTCGAAAAGTTATAAGTCGTGCGAAAAGGCTTTTTTTGAACGTGAACGATCTGCAGACTGCTTTGAACGCTTGTTGAACTTTTCAAGAATGTTGATCGAAATAGAACCATACACCGTGACGAAAGATTAGTCTGAGTTTTCTATTTGTATTTTTCTACAAAACCATTTGTCCTGTTTTGTCAATAGGGCCTTCGAACTCTTTTCTGCAGTACCGAGCGGTAACCGTCAACAGTTCAAGCTAGTTCGGTTTTTCGCTCTTAGACTCGTACTAAACGAAACAAAAATACCTCGAGCTAACTATATTTTATCATTCAGTTAATACAGCTACCATGAAAGCATGCAGTATGTGTCCATTCGTCGCCCTTATAGCGACAACCACTAGGGATACCAGAGGGGCAGTTTTTGAATCTCTTCTGTTTAATAATCCTCACATGGTCTTTGAAAGTCCAAACAAAGAGAACATTTCTTATGTGGTACACTAGTGTGAAGAAGAATTTCAGCCTCTTATTGCCTGCTATTGCTAGTGAAGTTATTATTGCTAATGAAGTTTCATTTGTAACATTTCTAGAGTAATGATCCTTTTTTTAAGGCTCTGAATGGCTAATTGTATTAAGATCAGTGTAATATCAACATATACGTGGTAAAAATTGTCGTAATTGCAAGTACAAACTTGTTTTGCTGTATCATTCCAGTCATCATGTATTCAATTTTAATATTACAAGAACTGTAGTACAGTGAAACCTGTATGAAGCGGACATCCTTGGGACACTCACTTGTGTCGGGCGTCTGCTCAAAACAGGTTTTAATATAGTGTGCAATAATAGTTTATTGTTAACCCTTTCGTAACACTGTGTAAGATCAAAGACGGCTCATAGCACAATGTCCAGTCAGTCAATTCATCTTCTTAGCTTTAAAACGGCATCGCTGAACAATGTTAAAGGAGTCTAAGCTGAGTTTTTACAAGTAAATGTAAGTCCCTAAAGTGTCCACTTATTGCAACAAAATGGCTTAATACTGCTTAACAGAGGAGTCCGCTAAATGCAGGTTTATTTTACAGTAAATGTGGGAAGAAAATTTAGGGACTCAAGCTGGTGTCCACTTTATAGAGGGTGTCTGCTTACCGGTAATATGGGGTGTGCTTAATACAGGTTTATAGGGGGATTCATGCTGACGTCATTGTTTACATTTTTTGCTCATTTGCATACTGCTTTGCATACCGAAGGAAACATGTTAGATATGAATTGACTCCAGGCAGCTAAAGAGGTAGTGAAACTTAATACATGGTTATATAATTAGCTCTTTGGGTGTAATATTCAAGGAGAAATTGTCTTTCAAAAACTGCAAAATTTCTGGGTGGCAAAAGCGCTAACGAGCTCATACATTCTTTGTAAAACTTTGAGTTTTTAAACCTCTGTTGCACAAAGAGTATTCGATATATCAGACTCATATTCATTGGCGGAGTTAATCGTGCTATGACTTTTCAATATTCAGAACTGATTTATTTGTAACTCCATCAGAAACTGAATTGTTTATGCTAATGAGGCAAATATTGTAATTAAGGATTCCCCTACATCTCTGGAAACAGACAGTATGTCATTGGAAAAAAAAGAACTGAACAAGTGTTGGAAACTAATTGAAGTATTCGAGCCTGGGTATTCACAAGCAAAATTAAATGTTATGCAATGTGGCGCTTATGCCCTGAGACAATCATGACTTGGTCCTTCAAAGTGGATAGAAACGACGATTACGAGATTTTCACGGCTTCGTTCCACACATGAATAAAACAGCGGCCAAAAAAAAAAATAACAACTTTTCCAAATCTGGTTGGCAGATCTAGATTAACAAAGATATCTTTCTTTTTCTTCTTCTCAAAAACGTATTTCAGAGGGTTTTTTTGGCGCTCATTAAGAGTTTTAAACCCAAAACATCGCAAACTTTACTGAGTGCAGCGTCCACATTACCCGCCGTATAAATTTTGTTGTTGACGTTTACGCTCGTGACTCGCGCGGTAGTTCTGGGGTAATTTGAGCTAAACTGTGATTGGCTTAGAATTTCTATGTCACAGAAATCGTTTTCTGGCTCTGGCTTGCAGACTGACCTTATTTTCGCCAGAACCAAGTGACAGCCGGAAATACGTCTGCTTTCGCAGGCTAATCGACCACCGACCGACCGGTTGACTGACTGAATGACTGACTGAGTGAGTCATTTTTTCCGCAGCTAACCACCAAAACCCCCTAGCTACGCTATCACGAGTTTAAACTCAGTGATTACAAGTCATTTACATGTTTGAAGAAAGGCACATGCAAAAATAGGCTCGATTACCAGCCGCTGTTCGGGAAAGGAGCCCGCGCTCTTCCCCGAAGGCACGGCTGGACGCGTGAGGATTCTTTTGTTCGTCTTAGCCAATCAGTTAACCGCCCGCAAATTTTTGTCGGGCATAAATTATCTCGTCAGTTCGGATTGCGGCCCGGGATGGCGGACGATGTGGAATTGATAAGATCGAAAGTTTAAAAATTCACGACAAGAAAAAGTAGAATAATTGATTAATGGCCAAGATGTGTTCCTTTTTCAGCCAACAGGGTCGGGAAAATTTGAATCTTTTGCTTCCGGAACGTCAGATAACCAGTCAACAAAGACTAAACATTGGACTCAAGAAACCTACCAGTCAGTCAAATAGATGTATTACCTTCTTTAAGGATAGCCACACCAGTCTCTGGCAAAGCCGGGTAAAATTAATTTTTTTAAAACGAGCAAATTAAATCGCGGGTAAAGCAAACCGAACTAGCAAAACATACGTGACAAGTTTCAGGGTATCAACTTAACAGCGGAAACCATGCAGACCAACATGTCACCTTTGACATAGATGACCAGTTTCCTAAACCGCAGTCGAACGGCGCTGCTCAACCTCGTTCCCAGGGTCTCTCA